GGACGAATAACCTGTTTGTAATGAGCTCTTCGTAATCTTTTCTCCTGCTGTTCCTGGGCCCTCGCTGCAGTGGCCCCATGTGGGCTTACATCCTGGCCCATGAGAACGCTGTCCCTCTCTGGAGATCCCTGATGGGACCCACTAAAGTGTTCCGAGCCCGACACAGCGACCCAGACTCCATCCGAGGTGCCTATGGCCTTACGGACACCAGGAACACGACCCATGGCTCAGGTAGGCCTAGCATTCCTGGACGGTTCTTGGGGAGGCAGGAACGATGGTGCTTTGTCTGCCTTTGCTTTAGTTCTGGGGCTCCAAGTGAGCGATTTGTTCCCTTCTGCAGACCCCATGCACACCTGGCCAGGTGCAGCCTAGCCAGGCACCTTTGGAGTGCAGCACGTGTTTGTGGTGGCAGACTGGCATCTCACTGCCTTTCCCTCTCTTTTGACAGACTCACCTGCCTCAGCCAGCAGAGAAATTGCCTTTTTCTTCCCCGAGTTCGATGAGCAGCGCTGGTACGAGCAGGAGGAGCCGCGGCTGCGGCGCGGGCAGCTGTTCCACGGCGCCCAGGAGTGCCTGCCCGGGGCTCAGCCCGCACAGGTGACCCCAGGGAGCGGGCAGGGGGGGCTGTGCTGGCCTGGCAGCCCTGGGGCCACTCTCCTGGGCAGCAGACACAGAGCTGTGCTGCGTGCTGGGGAGCGTGGAGGGGGAAAGCAGCCTTGTGCTGCCTGGGAGCAGATTATTGCTGTAACAGGCAGGTGCTGGGGGCTGTAGGCAGAGTTCCCCCAGCAGTGCTCATGCTGACAGTCTGGCCATGCAGCTCACTGGCTCCCTGAGTTTTTTTGGATATGAACAGGACAGGTGAGTTGGTCAAGGGCCAGGTGAAGGATAGGTTGCTTGTTCCGGATGGGATTGGCCTGGGTTTGCTGATGGGAAGCCTCAGATTCTCCCAGCTGGCTGTTCCCACAGTGCCTTAGGGAGAAAAGAAGGAAGAAAGTGCATCAGCAGGGCAAGATGAACTGTCCTGTCCTTGCTCACCTGCAACTGGGCTGGGAAATGAGGAGCTTTGCCAATAGCTGTGCATGCGAGAGCACTTGGAGCCCTCAGTGTCCATGGCCCGACGGGGCAGTTCCGTGTCCTTGGGAGATGGGATGAACATGGCCATGGAATTACCCAGATTGTGGTGGAACAATGACAGGGCGGTGCAGGAGGGCTTAGCTGGGAGGCACAGAGCCAGGTCCTGGCGGCTGATTTGCATTTCTCTCTATGATGTTCTGTGTGGTGTGTTCCTCAACAGGGTTTCAGTCCATTTGTGCTGTCCCCCTATGGGCTCCTTGCAGTGCTGCCATTTTAGTTCCAGTGCCCTGTTGGAATTTCCTTTGGGCAGTCCCAAATGCTCGGGCTGGGGATGGTGTGCTGTGCTTGGGGCAGGAGAGCTGAGCTGAGATCCAGCAGAGCCCTGGCACACCACAGAGCCAGGGCAGGGACTCTCCAGGTGCTTCCAGAACCCCGTGAGCTGTTGGGTAGTGACTGACTGACTGTGTGGTGGAAAGCATGGCCCAGACTCACCCAGCTCACGTGTTTGTGCTCCCTCCTCCTTCTGTCTGGGATCAAATGGTCGTTGTTCTGTTCCAGGTACAGATCCAGGGATCTGCAGAACACCACTGCTGCCCTTGCCCTCAGCAGTGTCCGGAGTGGATCTGTTCAGGATCCTGTGTGTCTTCACACAGGTCTGAGAGCTGTTGTCCCCAGTGTTGTTGATACTTTATTGATATTTTGGCAGTTTTTTATTGATTCCCAGAGGTTTTGCTTAGATCTGTATGTTTTTCTTTTAACTATTAAACTTTACTATTTTTCACCTTTCTTCTTTTATGTTGTGCTTTCCTTTTGGGATATTCCTTGGTAATATCATTAACTGATAATTCCTGGCTCACACTTGCCACTTTTTGTCTTTTTTCCTACTCACTTGCAATGGTTACACTTGGGAAAAGGGCCCTTTTGAACATTGCCAGTGCAGAGAATTCTGCCAGCAGGATCGTCACAGTGACACCACCTGACAGCCACTGTGATCCAGGTACCTGCTGGTGGCACCTGGACATTGCCCTGGCCCTGAGGCTGTACCTGAGCACAGCTGCTCAGACTGGGTAGCCCATTGCCCCAGACAGAGGGTTTGTTGTGTGAATCTAAAGCTGTCCAGCAGACTTTGTCAGAGACCTGAGGCTGAAGCACTTGGTATTTCATGCAGGAGACAGTGTCTCCTGATTTTTTCTCTCCAAGGAAGTCTTACAAAATGTCACAGGTTACTCTGCTTGGAGGGCTCTTAATCAAAGTGGGTTTGTTTGTTTGGGGTTTTTTTTCCCATTTTCTTTTTCTTTTCCTTGTAAATGCCCAGTAAGTGATTTTTGGCTTTTGCAGTGGTGCCTGCCCCATCGCTGGCAGTTTCCTGGGCTGAGCTGGATGGGCCTGGAGCAGCCTGGTGCAGTGGGTGACATCCCTGTTCACGGCAGGGGCACGGAGCTGGATGAGCTGTGTGGTCCCTCCCAGCCCAAGGCATTCCGTGCTGATGGGTGTGTGTTACAGCAGTAAATCAGTGTCCCAGCTGGTCTCAAACCCAGACAATGTGGCACCTCAGAACAGGTTTGAAGGGCGGTTTGAGATCCCTGTTTTCCCTGGCCCAGCTGTGGGGCCTGTGCACAGGGCTGGTCACAGCTTTTGCCCAGGGGCTGCTGCCAAGCACAGCCTGGGCACAGGCTCCAGCCCGGGCATCTGCAGGGACACCTCGGGTGTGGAGCTGGGACAGGGCATCTCACAGGGACCTACCTGTGAGTTTGGGGCTGAACTCATCTGCTCTTGCAGAATTGAGCAGGTTTGTGTCAGCACTGGAGGGCACAACACAGTTTGTCCTGGGAAGAAGGGAAGGAAAGGCTTCAGAGGGAAATGAGTGCTGCTCCCAGCCCAGGCCTGGCCTCAGTCCCTGCCACCATGGGCAGAGCCCTCTCAGCTTGAGGAATTTCATTTGATTTATTGCTGTAACACAAACTTTTAGTTACTGATTCAGGTACCGAGGAAAACCCAAGATAATGACTAAAGAAACCCCTGGGGAAACACCTTTCCTCTACTTTCCCAGGTTCAGCTTCAGTCCAGCATCTTTTCTCCCCTCTTTTCCTGCAGGTTCTGCCTCCTCTCTCCCAGTCCCTGGGGGAGGTGACACAACACAGAGGGCTGGGGCTGGGCTGGGCTTTGCTTTTCTACTTGTTTCTTCCTCTTTCCTTCTTGTTTACTCACTCCTGGCACACCCACAGGCTTCAGTCCCTCAGGTGTGCACCTGCTCCCTGGGCTGGTCTCTTCAGGGAGAAATGGGCCAGTGGGAATTTCATGAAGTTTCTAGAGGAAAACACCGTGTCCTGCACCTGGGCAGGGATGTTTCCATTTGCAACACTCCCGTGAGGGACCAGAGAAGCATCTGGCTGTCCTGATGGCCATGAGCCACTCCTGGGTCAGCAATGCACGTCTGTGGCCTGACAGCATCCTCAGGTGTGGGAGCCAGGGCACTCGCCCACAGGTCACCCCATCTCCTCCTGGGGCACAGGGAAGGCCACATCTGGTGCCAGTTTTGGACTGCCCAGTGCCAGACAGCCTGCTCAGAACTGGGGTCCAGCATGGACTGATTAGGACATCTGAGAATTTGACAGGTAAGGAGAGGCTGAGGGCTGGGGCTGCTCAGACTCAGGAGCTCAGTAGGGTTTATCAATGGGTAGAAATCCCAGGTGTGAGCAGAGAAGGGAACCTCGGGTATCCCAGGAATGGACACAAGGCAATGGAAACGACCTGAAAACTGGCAATTTCCTTGAGACATAAAAAACGCTCTTTTATTATTTTTATACTCCAAGAGCGATAAAATAAGGTCAGGAGCCCCTATGCCAAGGCAGGGCTTTGGTCTCAACATCCTCTGGAGTTCCTTTCTGTGCTGCTGGGCAGGTGTGGGCCCCGGGCTGTTGCTGCAGTGGCAGGGGATGCCCTTGGGGCCATGTGGGCACCTGGGCAGCAGGTCAGGCCTCTCCTTCCTCCAGCAAGGCCATAATTCCTGCCAGCCCCACCGCGGGCTCTGCTGCTGTTCAGTATTTCCCTCTCTGCAGCTGATATGTGTTGGAACCCTGGATGCTGAGAATTCCAGACTTTCTGTGCTGACATGCACCGATCCCCAAGAGAACACAGCATTTGACCTGAGGCTGTGGAGAAGGCTTCAAAAATTGATAGATAGCACTGGGATTATGGGTGTGTAGTTGGTTAGAAGTGTGTGATATCACAGGGTGGAAAACTTAGAGTTTAAGGTTTTAGAATATAGTAATATATGTAGAGCAAGATGGAGGGTTTAGCACGGTAGGTGGTCCTTCTTCACCTTCTTCCTTCTTCACCCCAATGGGTTTGGGTGATTTTGTGTAACTGGACAGAAAAGTCTGCATTGCAGACTTTGAGTGATTAGTTATTGGGTTAAACATGAAAATAATTTAGGTGCCATTTCTTAATTGGATAGTTTAGCCTTAAAAGACCATGTACAGAAGATTGTTAGCCATTTTGTAGCTTGTTAGTAGAATGCTGTAGAGCTCACCACTTGTAATAGAGATAAGAAATAATAAATACCTGAGTCCAGACACAAAACACTGTCTTGAGTGCTTCAATCCCCACCCTGACAGAGGCAGGAAGGAAGCCAAGAACCAGCAGATCTGCTCTTCTCACAACAGCCTGTGTCTCGCTTTTCCCAGGTCTGGGGACAAGGAAAAATGGATACAATGGAAATAAAGACAAATTTACTGCTTCAGTGCTGGCTGCACTTGTCTCTGCTAAAGCTGCGTCTCACTGTGCAGAGCTGCAGACAAGGGTGCTGTAGGTGGCCAAAGATTTTGTGGATTTGATCTTGTATCAGGCTGTGGGTTCTCGCATGGAAAAGAAAAGGGGCCTGGGGAAGCAGCCACAGAATCAAATTCCAGTCAAACAGACATACCATAATGGTGTTGAGGGAAGGCTGAGCCAGAGCAGTCCAATCCATCCCCACACTGAAAGTTCCAAGGGATTAGCAAACCGTCATCTCAGATTTGGGGGGCACAACCCTGTAGGCCACAGTTTTCCCACAGAGCTACTGTACAAAGCAGGAGGAACAAGGAGTGAGAGAAACACCAAACTGCAGAAAAAAAAATCCTCATAGATTGGGACTGTTTTCTTCCAGCACAGAAAATAAACACTCTTCTGTAGGAGTGACAGGGATAGGACAGTCGGGACCGACGGAGATGAGAGATCTCTGAAGCCAAGGCTTGGAACTTGGGGTTTATTGCA